CTGAAGTTTTGACACGTTTCCCCCTCTCTTTTTCTTTCCTCTTCTTCCCCCTCTCTCTCTCTCTCCCCTCTCTCTCTCTCTCCCTCTCTCTTTTCTCTCCTTCTTCTCTCTCCTCCTCTCTCTCTCTTTCCTCTCTCCTCTCTCTCTCCTCCCCCTCATCTCTCTCTCCCTTCTCTCTCCCCTCTCTCTCTCTCTCTCTCTTTTCTCTTTTCTTTCTTTCTTTTCATTTTTTCCTCCTTTCCTTCTCTCTCTCTCTCCCTTTTTTTCTCTCTTTCTTTCTCTCTTTTTCCCCCTCTTTCTTTTTTCCCTTTTTCTTTCTTTCTCTCCTTTCTTTCTCTCTCTTTCTCCCCTCTCTCTCTCTTCCTCTCCCTTCTCTCTCTCCCTTTTCTCTCCCCCTCTCTCTCTCTCTCTCTCTCCTCTCTCTCTTTCTCTCTCCCCTTTCTCTCTTTCCTTTTTCCCTCTTTCTCCTCCTTTTCTCTCTTTCTCTTCTTTCCCTTTCCCCCCCCCTTTCTCCCCCTTTCCCCCCTTTCTTTTTTTCTTTCTCTTTTTTTTCCCTTTTTCTTTCTTTCTCTTTCTCTCTCTCTCTCTCTCTCTCTCTCTTCCCCTCCTCTCTCTCTCTCTCTCCCCCCTCTCTCTTCTCTCTCTCTCTTCTCTCTTTCTCTTTTTCCTTTCTCCTCTCCCTTTTTCCCTTTCCTCTCTCCTCTTTTTTTTTTTTTTTTTACACAGGGTTTGACAAGGTTAAATCCCCACTATATTACAGGTTAAAGGGTTCCCAACTTTTTTGGCAAGCTAAGGCTGTTACCTACCACTCATTTTTAAAGCTTTTTATTGTTATAGCATACAATACGGGGCAGGAAAAAGTGGACCATCTGTGGGGCCCCGCATTTTTCATTTGATCAACGACTTTATCTCGTTACATCATTATGCTTTTCGAAGGTTTTCCCTACCGAGTCATCCTGGATTAAAGACCAGAAGGAGTGAGTTTCTGGAGAAGGGTACGCCAGAGTGAAGTTCTGCTTTCTGCCCGCTTGTGGGATAAAACTTGTTTCACCCCTGTCCCGAAGTACCAATGGGTATTTTGACAAATTGGCCCCTTTACATAACAGTAAGGCCACCCACATCCCTCCTGTTGAAGGCTCCGCTGAAATAACAGTCTAAAACCGGGTGGGTCCAGGGGGAGATGAGACGTCTTGCTCGGGGGGGGGGGGGGGGGGGGGGGGGGGGGGGGGGGGGGGGGGGGATTTGCAACCCCCCTGTCAAGCAAGGGGAGATAGGGGGCGGGAAACCCCGGTTTTTTAAAATTTTCACAAGGTTTTAGGTTTTTTGGGCTTTTTACCCCCGGGTTCAACCCCCAGTCCCAACAATCCCCTTACCCCTTTTTGAAGCTTCCCTGGTGCCTGGAAAAATCACATTTTTTTTTTGGTAAATTTTTTTTGGCCCCATTTTCCCCCAAGGAAAATCACTTTTAGTGCAACACTCATTCTTTTCCCTTATAATGAAGATAGTGTAAGCTCTCTTTGCCTTTTCTAGGTGAAAAGGTCTTGAAAACATTCCTCAGTGGAACCACAGCCCCTTTTGGAAAGTTGCCCCCAGAGCCGCGATTCCTTTCTCCCTTGAATCCCTGAATTCAGGGGAAAAAAGTGCCCCAAATTCCCCTGTGAATTTTCTGGGGAATGAAAAAAGGCCGGAAGTAGGCTCCAAACAGTGGAACCAACGGTTTCCCTTTGGAAGGTTTAAAAAAACCGCAATCCTTTCCTAAGCCAATTGAGACACAAATTTAGGGGATCAAAAAAAAGGAGAAATTGCTAAGGGCTCCAATTCCCAAAATGCCTTTGGGGTTTTGCTGAGCCTGGTGCCACACCCTTTTCCGGAAGGGCCAACAGTCACTCCAAAGAAGGGGTTTTAGAGGTGCTCTATGGGAATTTTAACAACTTGGGGTAACTTTCTGGGAAGCCTTTCTTCCCAAGTGATTTAAAAAAAAACCCCCGCCTTTTGTCAATAAGTTTGGGCCCAGTTTTGCAGTAGCCAAAGGGGGCCCCTTTCTGGATTCCTCTCTCTCTTTTTCCCCTTTCCTCTTCCTTCCCCTTTCCCCTTCTCTTCTTCTTTTTCTCTTCTTTCTCCCCTTTTTCCTCCTCTTTTCCCCCCTTTCTCCCCCCTTTTCTTTTCCTTTTCCCTCCTCCTTTTTTTTTTTTTTTCCCCCCCCTTTTACCCTCTTTTTCCAACTTTCCTTTCTTCTCTCTCTCTCTCTCTCTCTCTTTTTTCCCTCTTCCTTTTTTCCTCTCCCTCTCTTTTTTTCCTCTTCTTTTTTCTCTCTTTCTCCCCCTCTCTCTTTCTCTTCTCTTCTCTCCTTTCTCTCTTCTTTCCCTTTTCTCTTCCTTTTTTCTCTCTTTTTTTTTTCTTTTCTCTTCTCTCTCTTCTTTTCCCTTTTTCTTTCCCCTTTTTTCCTTTTTCTCTTTCTCTCTTTCCCCCCTCTTTTCCCCCTCTCTCTTTCTCTCTTCCTCCCCTCTCCCCCCGTCTTTCTTCCCTTTCTCTCTTCTCCCTTTTTCTTCCTCTTCTCTTCTTCCCCCCTCTTTCTCTCTCTCCTCTCTTCTCTCTTTTTCGTTCTTCCTCTCTCTCTCTCTCTCTCTTCTCTTTTTTCTCTCCCCTCTCTCTCTCTCTCTTTCCCTTCTTCTTCTCTCTTTCTCTCTCTTTCTCTTTTTTTCTTCTTTCCCCTTTTCTTCTCCTCTCTTTTTCCCTTTTTCTCTTTTTTTTCCCCCCTTTCTTTTTCTTTCTTTTTCCCCTCTTTTCTTTCCCTTTCTCTTACCCCTTTTTCCCCTTTTCTTTCTCTCTTTTCCCCTCTTTCTCCCTTTTTTCCCCCTCTTTCCCCCTTTTTTCCTCCTTTTTCTCTTTCCTCTTTCTCTCTTTTTTCTCCTCTCTCTTCTTCCCCCTTTCCCTCCCCTTTTTTTCTCCCTTCCTGAAAAAAAAAACATTTATAACCCCTTTTTCCTCCAACCTTTTTTTTCTCCACAATTTAAAAAAAAAATTTAAATTCCCCCCCCTCCTTCTTACCCTTAACTTATTTTTACCCCTTTACCTAACCATTTAAACCCCCCCAAAACCCTCCCAAAACCCCCACCCCCCCTTTTTTTTTCATTTAAAACCAGGACACCCCTTTTCCCCATTCAAACACCACAATCATCTCTCTTATCATTTGCAAAAAATCCACTCTACATTTTGGGGGAAAAGCAAAAATCTTACCTTGTTTGTTTTAAAAAGTGATTTGAAGTGTTTTCATGAATTTTTTTTTATCTTTTTTTTGGGGGTATTTTTGGTACCATTGATAAATGGAAGGCATTCTCTGAAATAGAATGGTCTTGGTTTCAGAACCAAATATCTTAATTGGATCAAAGTACAGAAATATTATTTTATTCCAATTTTCCGGTAAAGTACCTGTTGAACCAGAGTCCTTCCAGAAAAATAATTCTGGTTAAAAAAACTGTGATGAACCATCTTCGTTTATATTTTTAAGATTGAAATACCAAAGGGTGATAAATTTTGGGATGGATTTTCCAGCCACCAAACAATCTGTTTTTCCTTATCTGCTGTGAATTCCCATTGTTTCGACAGTGGTTTATATATGAGGGGAATTAAGAATCCTGTTTTCTTTTTTAATACCTAGAACTTTTCTGAATCATTTGATGAATTAGAAACTGGCAACAAAAATACTTTCACATTGTCCACTCCTCCCTGGACCTATTTTAAATTTGGCACATCTGTAAAATGATTTTTTTTTTTTTTCTCATCTTAAATATCCCTTGTGTGTTTTCTGTAAATCTTTAAACATGGGATTTGCTTCGTGAAACCCACTAATAAAGTCATTTTATTTAATTTCAGATCATGAATGTTTTTGAAAAGGAAGCAGGATTTACCATTTAAGATGTTTTGGTTTATGTTTTGTTAGTACAAGTTAAAACCTGTTACCTACATCAACTCATTTTAAAGCTTTTTTTTATGAGACATGCAAATAGGGAATAGAATGAAGCTGGAGTCAGCTGTGAGACAGTGGTTTCATTTGGTCAATTGACTGTTTTATTGATGTACAAACATGTTACAGACTTTAGTCCTAGGAATAAATGATCTCAAACATTCTTGAGAATGGTACAGCCAAGGTGGTCAATGTATGACTAACAGTAGTACAGTAGCGCTACTGTTTCGCAAGTTAATATATTCTTAGTGTCCAATACTCTCTTGAATCAGTGGACCAAGTCTGCTAATTCTGAACTTGGTTCATTTATATTATGATGGAAAAATAAATTTCACAAATTGGAATTTACAGACAATCAGAAATAATGTACACCCCCTCCCCTCCCCCCTATTAGTTTAATTCAGTGATTCACTCTTCATACCTTTACTTTCCTATGTGCTTCCTAATAGTTCCTGTATTACTGTATTTTCTTTCCAACCTAGGAGACCTGATCTGAGACTGGGCCATGGGAAAAATAATTCCCAGAACCACTGAAAGATGATAGAATATTGGTTAAACATAAAGTAATTAACATAGGTTGGGGGTAATTAACATAGGAATGGGGTAAAGACTTGTGAATTTTGGGATTATATGAAATCTGTAAAGGACATAAAGAAACTGATTAGTCATATTTTTGTAAGTGAATTAAAGTGACTGGGGATGCTGTGTTTTGACAGATCATTCAAGCTGTTATGCTTTGTGGTCATCTGGAAGGACACCTAGGGAATGATTAAATTTTTCTCCTTCTTGGAGTCACCCTACCTTGGTGGGAAATGGCCAGTATGTTAAAAATTATCCAATAATTCACTTGTAAGAAATATCAGTATACTAATGCATTACTGAATACTCGACTTAAAAATAAAACATTGTACTGTACCTCTGCATTAATATTAATGGCAAGGAATACAGGTAGAGAAACTTAAGTAATAGAAAATAAGTTCAATCAAATTCAAGTAAAATAAAAAAGCAATTTTAATTGAATGTCTTTTTATTTCAGGTAACAGGGGAAGGCCTACTTGTGGTGTTTAATCCCATATCTGGTACAGCTGTAGGAGATAGAGGAGATGTTATACCTTTGGGCTACCATCTCACTCAGGCAGTGCTTATGCATCATGCTGATGAACAGTATCTCAAGGTCAGTACCAGTAGGAAGTAGGCTTGGCTGGTATTGAAAGAAGTGTAGAGCTGTCAAAATACAAAAATTATTATTGATATTATAATATAGATATTGGTAGTAGAAGAAATTTTTTTTTAAATTGCAATACTGATTCATTAGTTAAGACAATGGCAATATGATGTTAAATTTTTCTGCAGAGAACAAGTGACTTAGTAAAAAATTTGTTTTATTATCTTATCGGCCATCTCCCAACAACAGATTTGTAGGTACATAATAGTATTGTGTTGGAGTGGTTGGTACTTTTGTTCAATAAATGTTTGAAACAAGGGAAGGTACCTAGGGACTGGCAGAGAGCATGTATAATTCCTTTATATGTAAGAAAGGGGGACAAAAGAGATTGTAAAAATTATTGTGGAATAAGTTTACTGAGTATACCAGGTAAAGTATATGTTAGGGTTATTATTGAAAGAATTAGAGTAAAGACAGAGTAGGATTGCAGATGAACAAGGAGGCTTTAGAATGGGTAGGGGATGTGTAGATCAAGTGTTTACATTGAAGTATTTGTAGATGAATGGTTCAGAGAACCGACATGTTGATAAATTAGACACATGTGCAACTCTTGGGTATCTTTATTGGGGAAACGTTTCGCCACACAGTGGCTTCATCAGTCCATACATAGGAGAAACTGAAGAACAGGAGGAGAATGAGATAATCAGTCCCTCAACCTTGAGTCGATGTGTTCAGTCCATCAATCTTGAGTAGAATACTCAAGATTAATGGACTGAACACATCGACTCAAGGTTGAGGGACTGATTACCTCATTCTCCTCCTGTTCTTCAAGTTTCTCCTATGTATGGACTGATGAAGCCACTGTGTGGCGAAACGTTTCCCCAATAAAGATACCCAAGAGTTGCACATGTGTCTAATTTATCAACACTGAAGTATAAGTGAATATTATTTAGATAAAGATAGGTATGTTTTCATTGCATTTATGCATTTAGAAAAGGCATGTGATAGGGTGGATGGGGAAGCAGTGTGGTAGGTGTTGCATGGAATATGTATGGAATAGGTAATAAGCTACTAAATGCTGTAAAGAGTTTTTATGAGGATAGGCTCAGGTTAGGATATGTAGGAGAGAGGGAGATTACTTTCCAGTAAAATTAGGCCTCAGACAGGGGTGTGTAATGTCATCATAGTTGTTTAATATATTTATAGATGGAGTTGTAAAAGAAATAAATGCTAGGGTGTTGGGGAGAGGGGTGGGATTAAATAATAGAGAATCAAATACAAAATGGGAGTTGTCACTGTTACTTTTTGCTCATGATACTGTGCTTTTGGAAAATTCTAAAGAGAAGTTGCGAAGGTTACTGGACGAGTTTGGAAGGGTGTGTAAAGAAAGAAAGTTGAAAGTGAATATAGATAAGAGTAAGGTGATGAGGGTATCAAATGAGTTAGGTGAAGAAAACCTGGATATCATATTGGAGGGAGGGAGGGAGTATGAAAGAAGTGAAAGTGTTCGGATATTTGGGAGTAGATTTGTCAGCAAATGGGCTTATGAAGGATGAAGTTAACCATAGAATTGTTGAAAGAAAAAAGGTGAGTGGTGTATTGAGGTATCTGTGGAGACAAAAAAAAATGTTATCCATGGTGGCAAAAAAAGTTATGTACGAGAATATAGTGGTACCACCACTCCCATATGGATGTGAATGCTGCAGCAAGGAGGAGGCTGGAGGTAGTAGAGATGTTATGTCTAAGGGCAATTTGTGGTGTAATATTATGGAGAGAATTTGTAGTGTGGAAATTAGGAGGAGGAGTGGAGATACAGAAAGTATTATTCAGAAGGCTGAAGAGGGGTTATTGAGGTGCTTTGGTCAATTAGAGAGATTGGAGCAAAATAGAATGACTTGGAGGGTATATAAATCTGTAGTGGAGGGAAGTAGGGGTAGGGGTCATCCTAGGAAAGGATGAAGAGAGGGAGTAAAAGAGGCTTTATGTGCAAGGGGCCTGGACATGCAGCAGGCATGTGTAAGTATGTTAAATAGGAGTGAATGGAGATGAATGGTTTTTGTGACCTGACGAGCTGTTGGAGTGTGAGCAGGGTAATATTTTGTGAAGGGATTCAGGGAAACTGATTAGCCAGACTTGAGTCCTGGAGGTGGGAAATACAGTGCATGCACTGTACTTCCCACCTCCAGGGATATTGGCTGTTTGGAGTGACATCTAAACTGTCATATCTGGGCACCTCTGCATTATGAATGATGTTGAAGGTGTTGAATGATGGTGAAGTGTTTCATTTTTGGGTCACTGCCTTAGTGGGAGACGGCTGGCATGTTGAAAAAAAAATAGTATTGTAAGGGTGGGTAGGAAAGGGGCCAGATTTAATATAATGTATTTGTACATAGGAAACTAAAGAATAAGTTGTAATATAATTTGGTAGGGTGTGCAAAAGAAGAAAATTAAAAGTGAATACAGGAAAGAGTAAGGTTATGAGGATAAAAAGATAGGTGATGAAAGATTGGATATCAGATTGGAGGGAGAGAGTATGGAGGAGGTGAATGTATTCAGATATTTGGGAGTGGACGTGTCAGCAGATGGGTCTATGAAAGATGAGGTGAATCATAGAATTGATGAGGGGAAAAGGGTGAGTGGTGCACTTAGGAGTCTGTGGAGACAAAGAACTTTGTCCTTGGAGGCAAAGAGGGGAATGTATGAGAGTATAGTTTTACAAACGCTCTTATATGGGTGTGAAGCATGGGTGATGAATGTTGCAGCGAGGAGAAGGCTGGAGGCAGTGGAGATGTCATGTCTGAGGGCAATGTGTGGTGTGAATATAATGCAGAGAATTCGTAGTTTGGAAGTTAGGAGGAGGTGCGGGATTACCAAAATTGTTGTCCAGAGGGCTGAGGAAGGGTTGTTGAGGTGGTTCGGACATGTAGAGAGAATGGAGCGAAACAGAGTGACTTAAAGAGTGTATCAGTCTGTAGTGGAAGGAAGGCGGGGTAGGGGTCGGCCTAGGAAAGGTTGGAGGGATGGGGTAAAGGAGGTTTTGTGTGCGAGGGGCTTGGACTTCCAGCAGGCATGCGTGAGCGTGTTTGATAGGAGTGAATGGAGACAAATGGTTTTTAATACTTGACATGCTGTTGGAGTGTGAGCAAAGTAACATTTATGAAGGGGTTCAGGGAAACCGGCAGGCCGGACTTGAGTCCTGGAGATGGGAAGTACAGTGGACCCCCGCATAACGATTACCTCCGAATGCGACCAATTATGTAAGTGTATTTATGTAAGTGCGTTTGTACGTGTATGTTTGGGGGTCTGAAATGGACTAATCTACTTCACAATATTCCTTATGGGAATAAATTCGGTCAGTACTGGCACCTGAACATACTTATGGAGTGAAAAAATATCGTTAACCGGGGGTCCACTGTACAGTGCCTGCACTCTGAAGGAGGGGTGTTAATGTTGCAGTTTAAAAACTGTAGTGTAAAGCACCCTTCTGGCAAGACAGTGATGGAGTGAATGATGGTGAAAGTTTTTCTTTTTCGGGCCACCCTGCCTTGGTGGGAATCGGCCAGTGTGATAATAATAAAAAAAAAAATAAGGAGAATATTTTTTAATGAGATGTAGCTGGTTTTTGGTATGGATGGCTTGTTGAATTAAGGCAAATGTAAAATGTAAATGAGTTGATTGGGTGTAACAAGTGTGCAAAGCAGTGTGAGGCAACTGTAGAGAAATGTCATTGGAAATGGCAAATTATCCTGTATCTGGATGAAGGCAGTAATTTCTTCATTGTATTAAAAGGATTAGATGTAATGTAAGAACTACAGTTTGATACTGTAAGTTTGGTTTTAAATTGCTTGGACTTCCAGCAAACGTGCATGAGCGTGTTAGATCGGAGTGAATGGCGACGAGTGGTATTTGGAACCTGATGAGCAGGGTAATATTTAATGAAGGGATTCAGGGAACTGATGGGATCATGACAGAAATGTTAAAAGCAGGGGGGGATATAGTGTTGGAGTGGTTGGTACTTTTGTTTAATAAATGTATGAAAGAGGGGAAGGTACCTAGGGATTGGCGGAGAGCTTGTATAGTCCCTTTATATAAAGGGAAAGGGGACAAAAGAGATTGTAAAAATTATAGAGGAATAAGTTTACTGAGTATACCAGGAAAAGTGTACGGTAGGGTTATAATTGAAAGAAGTAGAGGTAAGACAGAATGTAGGATTGCGTATGAGCAAGGTTTCAGAGTGGGTAGGGGATGTGTAGATCAAGTGTTTACATTAAAGCATACATGTGAACAGTATTTAGATAAAGGTAGGGAGGTTTTTATTGCAGGTAGTAGGTTGGTAGACAGCAACCACCCAGGGAAGTACTACCGTCCTGCCAGATGACTGTGAAACAAAAACCTGTAACTGTTTTGCATGATGGTAGGATTGCTGGTTTTCTTTTTCTGTCTCATAAACACGCTAGATAACAGGGATATCTTGCTACTCCTACTTACACTTTGGTAACACTTCACAGACACGCACATGCATATATATATATATACATACATCTAGGTTTTTCTCCTTATTCTAAATAGCTCTTGTTCTTTTTTATTTCTTCTATTGTCCATGGAGAAGTGGAAAAGAATCTTTCCTCCGTAAGCCATGCGTGTCGTATGAGGCGACTAAAATGCCGGGAGCAATGGGCTAGTAACCCTTCTCCTGTATACATTTACTAAAAAAGAGAAGAAGAAAAACTTTATAAAACTGGGTTGTTTAAATGTGCGTGGATGTAGTGCGGATGACAAGAAACAGATGATTGCTGATGTTATGAATGAAAAGAAGTTGGATGTCCTGGCTCTAAGCGAAACAAAGCTGAAGGGGGTAGGAGAGTTTCAGTGGGGGGAAATAAATGGGATTAAATCTGGAGTATCTGAGAGAGTTAGAGCAAAGGAAGGGGTAGCAGTAATGTTAAATGATCAGTTTTTGGAAGGAGAAAGAGAATATGAATGTGTAAATTCGAGAATTATGTGGATTA